AACCATGGGTATATCATACCCGATTTTGAAAATATCAAAAAAAAAAATAAATATAAATCTTTATTTGAAATATTTTACATGCAGGCACTTCAAACTTTGTACTTTGAGTTAACATTAATAGGAACTGAAAAACATTATTTAGGTAAGAAAATCAGGTACTGAAAATTGTAATTAAAAATAGGAAAATTTGCGCTGGGTACTATATACCTATGGTTAATGTTCTAGGGTTAAATAAATCTTACCTCTCTAAATTATTTAACGAAATTAAATTTGAATGAAAACTTAAAATTTTGAAATACATGATTTTTATATATATATATATATATATATATATATATATATATATATATTTATATATATTATTTTATATTTTATATCACTTTTATAGAGCACATTCACCCATAAATATAAATATAGCACACTTTCAAATCACATTTTGGGGCATTATATATATATATATATATATATATATATATATATATATGTGTGTGTGTGTGTGTGTGTGTCAACAATTTGTGTGTGTGTGTGTGTGTATGTATGTATGTATGTATGCATGCATACAGGCTGTATCAAAAATACTTTTACAAACTTTACGGGCGGATTCCTCTCATCAAAACAAGAACAAAAGTCCATATAATCCTACTGAGTGAAAGAGAAGACTCCAGAAAGAACTGGAAACCTAATCCTAAACAGGAAAAAATGGATAAACTTCTTTTCCTCTTCAAAAGATCTGGGTGGAGTGTTAACAGGGCAATGGCAAAACTATCTACTCCTACTAATTAACAAGTTTGCTTCAAGGGAAGCGTAATTTTAGACCTAACCAGCACCTTCCTCAGTATCATATATGCCTGCTCACGATATGAATATGTTGGTATTGTTAAACGGAACACTTCTCAGTTAACTGACTACTTTTTATTGTGTGCGCGGTTAACTTTCTTGCTCCGGTGGGATTGTTTTGTTTCTTTTTATAACTCAAAGAATCAGACTGTTTCAAGTTTTTATTTTTTTATTTTTTATGATGACGCACACGTCAAAAAAGACTACTTGGAATAATTCTTTTGCAGTTGGGTCTTGTCCCTCGTTTCGTTAGTTCGCAAGACCGTCCTGCCACTATCCTCGCTCTATATATATATAATGTACTATTCCGTTTTGATCTCAGGAAAAGAGCGGAAAAGACTCGGTTTGGTTTCAGTGAGAAAATTAAAGAAAGAAAGAAAGAAAGGAAGAGAGAAGTGGAGAGAAAGAGAGAACCAAACTAAGCTGATAAGAATAGACGTTAGACTGTGATCTTAGCCAAAAGTTCGAAAGTGATGGCGACCGCGATAAAGGTGCCATTTTTGAAAAGTACAGTATCGAACAACGAAAACCGAGTAAGGCAATCGCACAAAATCCAATTACCATAAATAAAATAACATTCTGCTGAATTAGTTTTAAATTATAATTAAGGGACATGTTGGTAAGGGGAGGTGGAAAATATGAGGAGGGGAAAAAAACAGCAGTGAAAAATGAATGAATGAAAGAACGGAAGATAAACATAGAAAAACAAGGCATAAGATAGAAATGTTTAAAATCTGTTTCAGTGAAATGAAAAATAGCTGTCAATTTCAAATCTTTTCATTTGTACCCACTTCTTAAAATAACGACCAGTATTCATATTTATCACAATCATTATTGCGATATTTTGTTAAAGTTGTTGAGCTGAAATATTTAACGATTCGAAAGGGGAATTTGTCAAAATAATCTGTCTAATTCAATCAGTCAGTTAAATGCCATCCGTGATACACACTTGGGCAATCATGTCTCTTTCGACTCATGACTGACACGGCAGAAGATATTCCCGCAGTAGGCGGCCGTTTCTTTGTTTTAGACTGGTTGCCAACCAAGGCTATGGAACCCAATCTGTCGTGCTATTTTACTGGAGGAGAAGAGATGATTGCATATCTTACACAATTTATTTTCGTGTAAATGACTGTAATGAACCCGACTGGAATTCGATCTCGGCTCTCCGTTTTCTCATTCCGAGCCGATATCCATTACACTGGCAACGCGCAATTAATTGCTTAATTAGATGTTCTTAAAATTGTACCGAATTATTTAAACAAGTTCATCCCAAGCAAGGCAATAAAGCCACTAAGACACTAGGAGGTTACAGGGTGTGGAAGAATTAGGAACAGAAACATTAATAATGAACGTGAAGAGGAAAGAGTAATCAGGAGGACAGTAGATAGCGATTGACATTGCATTTAATTTTTTGTAGGTTAAAGTTCGCTGGAAAGCATGGAGTCTGAAGGGAGTTCTACAAGCAAGGCAGTAAAGCTACTAAGACTCAAAGGTTTACTGGGTGTGGAAGAATTAGGAACAGAAACATTAATAATGAACGAGAAGCGGAAAGAGTAATCAGGAGGACATGAGATAGCGATTGACATTGCTTTTAATTATATGAAGATTAAAATTGGCTGGAAAGCATGTAGCCGGTAGGGAGTTCTATAAGCAAGGCTGTAAAGCCACTAAGACACAAGAGGGTTACACGGTGTGGAAGAATCAGGAACAGAAACATTAATAATGAGCGGGAAGAGGAAATAGTAATCAGGAGGACATTAAATAGCGATTGACATTGCATCTAAATATTTGGAGATTAAACTTGGCTGAAAAGCATGGAGAGTGTTCCACAAGCGAGAAATGTGAGCAAAAGAAACTATTAGCATAGAACTTACGGTTAAATCTAGCCAACTCATCCTTAAATTGGTGAGACCTTGTCACCATTCTAGTACTGCGCTTAAATTCATAAATAGAATTAACAATAGCGAAGAGCGATATTTATTTGTACAATGATGCAAAATGTGGCACAAGGCCAAAATGGGGAAAGGTGAAATGTCTTAATATTAAACTTAACTAGCCACAAACACTGAACCAAACATACTACAATATTGCTTTCACCATAACAACACATTCTTACTTACCTTTCTGATTACGTTCACCATAATACCTCATTGTCTCTATGAACATCCTAACTAGCCCTCTTATTTACAATTCATTATCTGGGGTGGGAGGGAGGAATAAAACACTAATTTAGAAACTAGCCTCAATGAGTAGTTACAATATGAAAACAAAACTAATTACAATAGCGATATTTATTTGTAATATTTGCAAAATGTGTCATAAGGCCAAAAATGGAGAATGGGGAAAAGGACAGTCTTCTTCTGTCTTAACTTTAAACTTAGCTAGCCAAAATATTGACCCAAACATACCACAATATTCCTTACACCACAACAACGCATTCTTACTTACCTTACTTATTACGTTCACCATAATACCTCATTGTCTCTATGAAAATCCTAACTAGTCCCTATATGTACAATTCATTGTTCTAGGGGGAAGGGAATAAAATAACAATTTTTAAAAAGTTAAACCCCAATGAATATTTACAAATGTGAAACAAAACTATATACAAGAAACCAAACAAAATATTAGTAATAAAAAAAACCCACAATCCTTAATACCAAAGCGAAGTGCGATATTGATTTCTGCTTATTTACAGAAATGTGGCACAAGGCCAAAATGGAGAATGGAGAAAAGGACGGTCTTCATTTGTCTTAAATTTAAACTTAGCCACAAACACTGACCCAAATATACCACAATATTCCTAACACCAAAACAACATATTCTTACTTACCTTTCTTACTACATCCACCATAATACCACATGTCTCTATGAAAATCCTAACTAGTCCCCATATGTACAATTCTTTGTCTCTGTGTGTCGGTGGGGGGGGGAATAAAACAACAATTTAAAAACTATCCCCAATGAGTATTTACGATAGGAATATAATCTATTTACAAGAAACTAAACTAAATAATGTTAGTAATAAAAAAAAAAACCCACAATCATTAAATGTGGCAGAAACATCAGTTAACTGGACGAAATCAATGCGGGACTTTAATAATATAAGACATTTATTCATCCCAAACACTCACTCAACCACACACTCATTCAAGCGCAACAAAAAATACGAAAATCAAATCCGAAACGAAAGACACCCCGCATCTTCCAGAGAACTGACATCTCTGCTTACCTAAACGAAGGAGCGAAGAGGAATTAAACTAAAGAAAAAATTAGGGATCAAAAATAAAAGTAGCCAATGAGCATACATCCCCTAGTTAACTTGAAGAAAGACACTAAGGACAAAAGAGAAACCTAAACTAACCTAAATCTGGGCGGAGTTAGCCAATGTTCAAAGCAGAGAGAACATTCCAAATAATTACCATGAAAGTATTTATAGAAAAGACACGGCGGTCGTGTAATGGCTGAAACCGAGATGATTGATCAGGACCGATAATATTGCTGATTCTTCTATGGATTTTATCAAGGATATACAGTAATTTCTCGAAAATAAATCCCATTTTTTTTTTACTGTAAATTACAGGTGACAGTAGGGGTGCGTATTATAAATAGGTTTAAACAAAAATATTTTTTTCGTTATTTATAATAACAAATACGTACTTGTTATCCTAAAATAAGAAAGATATTATCCCAATTTTCATTTTAAATCCAACAATAATAATTGTAACATTTTTTTGTCAATAAATTTGTTTTTCAGTAACCGCATGTTTTTTTATTTGACAAAAAATTTTTAAAAAATCTATAAAAAAGACCAATTTTCGAAGAAAAGAGGATATTTATATATAATTTATTGAAATTTAATCATCATCATCATCATCATCAACAACAACGCCACCGCCACCACCACTTTCTAATTTAGAATCAATATCTAAATTGCCATTAAACAAATTATCATTCAAAATATTATTTTTGTCCTGTTCAAAATTATCTTTGGTCTCTTCTTTCTCTTGCCGAAGGATGTCATCTTCAGAGCCATCCATGGCTGTCATGGGACAACACTTGTTGAAACCTCTCTTTATATCTATCCTCACCGACGGAATCCTATTTTGGCGCGAAAATAAAATGTTATATTTATCGGGAAAGCTGCGTGGTAATTTTCA